ATTCATTTTTAAAAAAGTACAAAACAATTCCATAACAATATAAAAAAGATACAAAAGATTTAAAATGAAAGGCAGCAGAAAGAAGAAAAAATCTTATTATATCTGCCCCTTTTTTCAAACAATTATTTCAATCATAATAATAATATAATAATAATAATATAATAATAACTTTCAATAAATAATAAATAAATGAGGACCTGTTGAGAATGCGTGTGGGATCATTATATAGGCCCCTTTGGATGGAGTATACTGGAGCAGAATCGATGATTAGGAGGACTGACAGGATCATGGTTGCCATCAGGATTACTTCTCCAGAGGCAGGTGAATCAGATTCCTGCTGGTTCCTGGACATCTGGAGATAGTCATCTGTCCTGACTCTTCTAAATATATATGGTTTCAGCTTCTTGGTTTACCGGGTCTCTTTTATTTTATTTTAGTTTTGTACTATGGAGTCGGTGACTACTTTTATTATTTATTAAGATAATTTACTGGTTAATAGTTGAAAATATTACTGCTTTTAGTTTATTGGTTTGCTAATTTTTTATTACAATTTATAATTGCACATACACCGGGCGGTCAGGGAGTGCATTTCTGTTTGCTAAAATCTCTTTCCCAAGGGGAATATGAAAGCGTTTGTTTTAGCATTTATAAATGTTATGAGAGCTCGCAGGTTTTTGTTCTTATATTAGTTTAGGAATAAGAAGAACGAACACCCTGAGTCAACACATTCGGTTTACGTTTCGTTGTCAGGATGCTTTGCTGGCAATCGAGAAGAGAGGTGAATGTTAAATGTTATTGTTTTACCTTTTTGTCCCCCCCCCCCCCCCAAAAAAAAAAAAGAAAGGAATTTTACTTTTCATTTATCAGAGAGACAAAAATGGAGCAGAATTAGTCTATTATGGCTTTGGTGGATTATCTGGATAAAAGGGAAAATTACTTGTTGACTTTTCTTCATAGTCGAGGTCAATGTTAAGTCCGTTGACATTTATATAATTTAATGTCAAAGACTGAATAGCCCTATAAAAAGAAAAAGAGTCTATACTTACCTAAAAAAATTAAAACCTGATATTGTTTACTTACAAGAAACACATTTGTCTGACAGGGAACATAAAAAGTTAAAAAGAGATTGGGTAAGTCATGTGTTCTTTTCTTCATTTAGTTCAAACTCAAGAGGAACAAGAATTTTGCTGCATAAAAACATCCCCTTCATTGCTACTAAAACTATATCTGACCCTTCAGGTAGATATATCATGGTACAAGGGCAAATGTATTCAGAGTCCTGGACGTTTATGAATATTTATGCACCTAACTATGATGATAGTCTATTTATGCAGGAGGTCTTTCTTCAGGTCTCCCAAGCACCTGTGTTTCATGTGGTGGGAGGGGACATGAACTTTTGTTTAGACACCGTGCTCGATAGATCTTCTGACAGACCCTGTCTTCTCTCTAAATCAGCTAAAATTACAATCTCATTTATGAAAGACTTAAACTTAATGGATGCCTGGAGGCAGATGCATCCACAGGATAGAGATTATTCATTTTATTCACATCCACACAACTCCCATACATAGACAGATAATTTTTTTATTGAATTTTTTTTTGTTGATTTTTTTTCTGGTCAGATGGTAAATGGACTGTACTTATATAGCGCCTTTCTATCTTATTTCAAGATGCTCAAAGCGCTTTACACTACAATCTGCGCCTCATTTACCCATTCATACAGCACTCTACTAGATCTCTACAAAGCTAATTGAACAAATCATTCTAAAGAGACTAATCAGAGCTTTAGATCACATTCATACACTGATGGGACACACATCAGAGGCTATGAGGGGTTCAGTGTCTTGCTCAGGGACACGTCGGCATGTGACTGCTGGTGGATTCGAACCCCCAACTCACGCATTGGTGGACGACTGCTCTAACCACTCAGCCACAGCCGCCCCTATTAGATATTTCATTGAGTGATAGACGGTGAATATCTTCCAAGACTACTGAGTGATCACTCTCCGTTGGTGATGTCGGTGTTTATTCCCAACAAGGTAGCTGAAAGATACAGATGGAGGCTCAACCTTACTCTTTTAAAACAACCTGAATTCTGTACTTATCAACCTGGATCAAACAGGGTTCATTATAACAGGTTTTCCACTAATAATTTAAGGCGTTTGTTTAATATAATACATCTGGCTAACAAAAAAAAGATACCAAGTGTAGCTGTCTCACTTGATGCAGAAAAACTTTCAATATGGTTGAATGGCATTACTTGTTCTATTTCGTATAGGCTTCGCCCTTTAAGGCTGTCGCTTGTGGGTTTTATACCGTCACGCAAAGCGTCGCACTGAAAAAATTTAGTCCATGCCCACTTGTCGTGTGGGCCCCACCCGGTCCGTATAAATTACATTGAGAGCAGGTAATCGGCTCCCATTTTTCTTCAGCAAGCAACTAGCACTGATCTTCCAGCAACGCAATGTCCAGCACCAACACCATCCGCCTGTATCCGTCCTGCAAGACCGGCTACATGCTGAGCTTTGACTGGCACGACACCTGCGAAGGATGCCTAGGTCCCCACCACGCCGACCTTGCCTCCTCCTGCCGCCTCAGTGACCTCCTCCCCCCTGAGGAGAGGCAGAGGCGAGCAGCCTTGTTTAAGGCTAACATCGAGGAGTACCTCTCCATGGCGGGGGACTGCTCGCTGGACGACGCCATTGATTTTTTTGACACCGGGTCTCGGAGTGAAACGGATGGTTCCTCGGGGACAGGCGACATCAGCAGCAGCCCCACTGCTCATTCCCTCCCGGAGAGCGTAGTGTTGGAACGGGAGGGGCTGAGCGGCTGTGGCTGAGTGGGGCGGCTTTGGCTGATTGGTTAGAGCAGTCGTCCTCTAATGCGAGAGTTTGGGGTTCGAATCCACCAGCAGTCACGTGTCGAAGTGTCCCTGGGCAAGACACTGAACCCCTCATAGCCTCTGATGTGTGTCCCATCAGTGTATGAATGTGATCTAAAGCACTGATTAGTCTCTTTAGAATGATTTGTTCAATTAGCTTTGTAGAGATCTAGTAGAGTGCTGTATGAATGTATAAATGAGGACACAGATTGTAGTGTAAAGCACTTTGAGTGTCTTGAAATGTCTTTTTTTGTACTTTTTTAAAATGAATAAACTTTATACTTTATACTTTAAATAAGATAGAAAGGTGCTATATAAGTACAGTCCATTTACCATTTACCCTTCCCGGGCCTTTCCACATCAGCGACCACACCGCTCCCTGCCATCAGTGCCCTCCTCTCGGAGCTGCCCGATATAATCCAGGAGGATGTTAACACAAGGGACTTTCCATCCCTCACCTCCCTCCGCCCTGATTGGATGATCTGGCGGCAAGGTTGGCTCCGCACGGGCTCATCGCCCTGACCCCATCTGGCCTCGCTGTCCAGTTGTGACGTCACACTGGAACGAGGCTGCAGCTGGGCTGGCAAGCTGAAGACAGCCATCTTCACCTTCGCCTCCATCTCCAGAGTGGAGGGTTTTACCGATCAGAGTTTTACCCTCGGTCCCCCTCCCCCCCGGAGCCAAGCCTGGCGGGTGGCACTTGGGGGAAAACGCTTCCAGGATGGACCAGCAACCTGTCCTTCCAGGGAAGCATGACCAGAGGGTGACAAAGTCTCCAACCGAGCTCACCATTGGTCATCCCAGACGGCCGCAGCAAACAACAACGTTGCCCTGCTGGCCTACAGCATCTCGAAGAGGCTGGAAGAAGCAGACCTGCTGGAGGAGACAAAGAGCTCTCTCTGTAAAGCTGCTGATGTCATCTTAAACATGTGCAACCTCTGTGATTTGCCTGTCCCGCATCGCCGCCTGGATGACCATGATCCAGAGGATCACTTGGCTTCGCCTCTCGCCATCCGTGTCCGAGAGGCTGCAGAAAGACCTGCTGGAGGGCCCCATCAACCCAGAGGCGCTGTTCGGGGCCAACTTCAGGACCATCCTTGAAGAATCGCAGAGGTCCGAGGAGGTCTCATAGACTGTACACCGTCTGGTGACGTCACAGTCCATCTGCCCCTCCGGCCGCTGGAGGGACCGCCTTGGCCAGCAACAGCACCAGAGGTGCTCTACAGCTGCGGCAGCAATTTCATTTCCCGCTCCTCCGCCGGCCCCCTCCACCAGGTAACAGATCCTTGAGGGGAAGGTATGTGTTTTTTGATGATGTATGTTTTGATATAAAACAGAAACACCTCTGAAAGTTTTTTCATCGGAGTCTGTCAGATCAGCTGATCTTTCAGCTGCCTCTTTTCACACATTCCCCACACAGAACGAGCCAGTAACCTCTAAACAGCATTTTTAAAAGGCACCGCAGTTCAGTAAATATCACAACACTTGTCTGCCACATCAGCTAAGATGATGTTTTTTCAGCAGGCCGAGTCTGGAAAAATCCCTCTTCTCTCAGCCAGAGCCTAGTTTTAATTTCTGCTGTTTTTCTGCCCACTCACAGCGCAGCGGGAGTAAACATGTTTCTCCATGACAGCTGCAGCCTCCACCGAAACAGCATCTCACTCAGAAAGCGCTCACGCCTCCTTTGGTGCGCACCGACTCACCTCA